ACTGAACTAGAACTGAACTAGAACTGAACTAGAACTGAACTAGAACTGAACTAGAACTGAACTAGAACTGAACTAGAACTGAACTAGAACTGAACTAGAACTGAACTAGAACTGAACTAGGACTGAACTAGAACTGAACTAGGACTGAACTAGACTGAACTAGGACTGAACTAGAACTGAACTAGAACTGAACTAGAACTGAACTAGAACTGAACTAGGACTGAACTAGGACTGAACTAGAACTGAACTAGAACTGAACTAGAACTGAACTAGAACTGAACTAGAACTGAACTAGAACTGAACTAGAACTGAACTAGAACTGAACTAGGAACTGAACTAGAACTGAACTAGAACTGAACTAGAACTGAACTAGAACTGAACTAGAACTGAACTAGAACTGAACTAGAACTGAACTAGAACTGAACTAGAACTGAACTAGAACTGAACTAGAACTGAACTAGAACTGAACTAGAACTGAACTAGAACTGAACTAGAACTGAACTAGAACTGAACTAGAACTGAACTAGAACTGAACTAGAACTGAACTAGAAGAGACTGAACTAGAACTAGAACTGAACTAGAACTGAACTAGAACTGAACTAGAACTGAACTAGAACTGAACTAGAACTGAACTAGAACTGAACTGACTAGAACTGAACTAGAACTGAACTAGAACTGAACTAGAACTGAACTAGAACTGAACTAGAACTGAACTAGAACTGAACTAGAACTGAACTAGAACTAAACTAGAACTGAACTAGAACTGAACTGAACTAGAACTGAACTAGAACTGAACTAGAACCGAACTTGAACCGAACTAGAACCGAACTAGAACCGAACTAGAACCGAACTAGAACTGAACTAGAACTGAACTAGAACTGAACTAGAACTGAACTAGAACTGAACTAGAACTGAACTAGAACTGAACTAGAACTGAACTAGAACTGAACTAGAACTGAACTAGAACTGAACTAGAACTGAACTAGAACTGAACTAGAACTGAACTAGAACTGAACTGAACTGACCTAGAACTGAACTAGAACTGAACTGAACTAGAACTGAACTTATCAATTAAGGACTAAGTTCTCTTTTTTTTTGTAGGTCTTTATGATTTTATATCGTTTAAGTTTTAAAACGTCTTTTTTTAATCAAATTATCCAATTATTTTTTGAAGATAGTCATAGTTTTTGCTACACATTATACAGAAATAGTCTGCGTTTCAAGGAGTAAGGGAGTCTCAGTAATCTATTTTATATATATTTACATTTAATGCTCAATTAATTATGGGATATATTAAGAAAGTGTGGATCAAATATATATATGTCGCATTATTAAACATTACACTAAATTACTCCTAAATTACAACAGTTTTATAATGGAGAAAAATTCGGATGCTTATGGCGAACTGTATAATCTACACTTAATATTTTTATATTTTGGAATCTGATTGAATGACCCCCATCATTTTTTTAAATTCAAAATGCAACCATTTAAAAAAAATCTTATTCCTCTACCTCAAAGTCTCTTGACTTCAAAATGAAAATGTTCAAATTAAAACATCTTTATTACCAAAAATGGCATGTTACTGTCATAATGATTTCATCATCATAGCGATAATTTCGAAAAGCAAGCAGTTTCAAACTCAGTTTCACAAATTAAACGACATTATGATGACAATTTGACTTAGATGGCAAACGAAGTCAAAGATGTTCATATTAACACATACTAATTTTTAGCTTTTGAATAACAATAGACAGGTCAAAAAAAAAATAACAAAAACAATAACATATCCAAATATAGTTTTTACAATAATTTTAACATCAAACCATTAAAAAGGTATAAAAATGTATAAAAGAGACGAAGAAAAAAAATTGTTTGATAATTTGTTACAATTGAGTTGTGTTTAAGGAGACACAACTAGCCCCTGTTGACAAATACAAAACCACCTACACAAACAAATACAAATAAAGGAAAACAACAACAAAAACTAAACATGAAGGAAGACGAAAAGGAAACTCCTAAATTGTAACGTCAAATACTCTAACAACAACAACAACATCAGCAAAACAATTTAACACACTACGATGGACAGACAACAACAAGAACAACAACCACCTAAAGTAACACATTACAATAGTTTAGTGTAAAGCGTAACAACTCAATTTAGCTAAAGATGCTGTTGTCTCTCTATTTAGCCGAGCACCCCGGTGATTTGTTGCTCTAGCAAAGACGCGGTTTGGGTTTGACAAATTTGTTCTGCTTGCAGAAACAGGAGTAATAAACCAAAATATTATGAAAACTCCTGCTGGCTTTCAACCTGCTGAGTTCTACGATTTTCTGTGGTCGATCCTCGGCGAGATGAGAGTCGTATACTCTCGATACATGTAAAACGTCTAAAAGAGCATAACAAGAACAAGCAAAATTGGCTACGTTGGTGTGTGGTGACGCTACTGCTACCAATTCTTGTGGATTTCCAACAGTGCAATGGTTTTTTCTTTAGCAATTTTCGCTATTCTTTGATTTTGGTTCTTTATACTTTTTTTTTCTGGTGTTTTTGTTGAGTCTTGTTTTATGTTTTAGCTGCTTTTCGGTTGGATCTTGCTGGGCATTGCAAAAATATGTACACATATACATGAAATATACTTTTAAGTGTTCTATGTTTTTGTCATACAATTTGCAATGCTCTCCTAGAGGTCCAACTTCACAATATTTGAAGATTTTCCGTCATTCTGGTTTTAGTTACTGTTGAGTTTATTTGGAGAGCTAGACACGACAATGACGGTGATGTCTATGAAAAGAAAAAGAGAAATACCAAACAATTGCAGTGTTTGCGGTTATTTGCGTTGGCTGTTTCTAAATATTTACCACGAAAGATTTTCTACGCTTGGAGGGCAGAACTAAAACGTTGACAAAACATTGTGTTGCCGCCCGGGTATAGTGCAGCAGAAGCAAATGGCATAAGAAATAGAAGCTAAAGGTGAAAACCACCAAATGCACCATAACCAACGAAATTGACTACTTCGCATTTCATTTCAAATCGTGCAGTCAGCTCGATCAGATGAAAAGAGAAATTGTAGAATTATAATATTTGAAATAAACTTTGATTTGAGTATTTATATGAGACTAGACTATAGACCATCTATAGTCTAGTCTATAGTCTAGTCTATAGTCTAGTCTATAGTCTAGTCTATAGTCTAGTCTATAGTCTAGTCTATAGTCTAGTCTATAGTCTAGTCTATAGTCTAGTCTATAGTCTAGTCTATAGTCTAGTCTATAGTCTAGTCTATAGTCTAGTCTATAGTCTAGTCTATAGTCTAGTCTATAGTCTAGTCTATAGTCTAGTCTATAGTCTAGTCTATAGTCTAGTCTATAGTCTAGTCTATAGTCTAGTCTATAGTCTAGTCTATAGTCTAGTCTATAGTCTAGTCTATAGTCTAGTCTATAGTCTAGTCTATAGTCTAGTCTATAGTCTAGTCTATAGTCTAGTCTATAGTCTAGTCTATAGTCTAGTCTATAGTCTAGTCTATAGTCTAGTCTATAGTCTAGTCTATAGTCTAGTCCTATAGTCTAGTCTATGTCTAGTCTATAGTCTAGTCTATAGTCTAGTCTATAGTCTAGTCTACTAGTCTAGTCTATAGTCAGTCTATAGTCTAGTATATAGTCTAGTCTATAGTCTAGTCTATAGTCTAGTCTATAGTCTAGTCTATAGTCTAGTCTATAGTCTAGTCTATAGTCTAGTCTATAGTCTAGTCTATAGTCTAGTCTATAGTCTAGTCTATAGTCTAGTCTATAGTCTAGTCTATAGTCTAGTCTATAGTCTAGTCTATAGTCTAGTCTATAGTCTAGTCTATAGTCTAGTCTATAGTCTAGTCTATAGTCTAGTCTATAGTCTAGTCTATAGTCTAGTCTAGTCTAGTCTATAGTCTAGTCTAGTCTATAGTCTAGTCTATAGTCTAGTCTTATAGTCTAGTCTATAGTCTAGTCTATTAGTCTAGTCTATAGTCTAGTCTATAGTCTAGTCTATAGTCTAGTCTATAGTCTAGTCTATAGTCTGTAGTCTATAGTCTAGTCTATAGTCTAGTCTAGTCTAGTCTAGTCTATAGTCTAGTCTATAGTCTAGTCTATAGTCAGTCTATAGTCTAGTCTATAGTCCTAGTCTATAGTCTAGTCTATAGTCTAGTCTATAGCTAGTCTATAGTCTAGTCTATAGTCTAGTCTATAGTCTAGTCTATAGTCGAGTCTATAGTCCTAGTCTATAGTCTAGTCGATAGTCTAGTCTAGTCTATAGTCTAGTCTATAGTGTCTAGTCTATAGTTTAGTCTATAGTCTAGTCTATAGTCTAGGTCTATAGTCTAGTTTAGTCTAGTCTATAGTCTAGTCTATAGTTTAGTCTATAGTGTAGTCTATAGTCTAGTCTATAGTCTAGTCTATAGTCTAGTCTATAGTCTAGTCTATAGTCTAGTCTATAGTCTAGTCTTAGTCTAGTATAGTCTAGTCTATAGTCTAGTCTATAGTCTAGTCTATAGTCTAGTCTATAGTCTAGTCTATAGTCTAGTCTATAGTCTAGTCTATTAGTCTAGTCTTATAGTCATAGTCTATAGTCCTAGTCTAGTCTATAGTCTAGTCTATAGTCTAGTCTATAGTCTAGTCTATAGTCTAGTCTATAGTCTAGTCTATAGTCTAGTCTATAGTCTAGTCTATAGTCCAGTCTATAGTCTACTCTATAGTCTAGTCTATAGTCTACTCTATAGTCTAGTCCATAGTCTAGTATAGCTTAGTCTAGACTAGAGTTTAGTAATTCTATTTCAGAAAACTTAAATTTGTCTTTCAACTCTATTCCATTATTTCAAAAACTTTATTAACAATTTTAAGAAACTGTTTTTTACGGATATTCAAACTATTTCCTGTTCCTTTTGAGCATCATTACACTGAACATACCGCACAAAAATATAGTACAAACTTGGGTAGTCGACTTTTTGTTTCAACTAAACCATCTTAAG